TAGAGCTCAGAACATTTTAGAAAAATGGGCAAGTCTGACCCCATTTTGAGTAACAACTGGGACAAAGAAGTAAAATTACTTCTCCAAGTCCTCCCAGTGCTCCTTTTTTTAAAACTAGGGAGGGGTGGGGGGGGAGGAATGCACGTGCACATTCCCTGCTCTGTTCTTGAAGCCCTTGGTGGTGTTCTCAGTAGAGCACAAAAATGTATACTTTTTAATGAGTTCCTTCCTCACATGACCTGACTCCTCATGCTGATGGTTTCTGGTTTATTATGGCAAGTATCCTGGTGTGATGCCTAAAAAGTAGTTTGTGCTTCCTCTACTTGTATCTATTTTGTAATTAAGTAAAAGACCTTCGGACTCCAGAGAAACTACTCCAGCACCTTTTCTCTACAGTAAATTATGACCAAATAACAAAATGGTTTAAACTCTAAAAGACTGTAACTAAATACAGCCAGCATTCCCCTCCTTTCTGAATTACTGCAAGAGAGCCAAATTCTCTGTGGTGGCTCAGGAGATCAAGGGCACTTACTCATAAGTGAACACGCATGCTTACTACACTGTAGGCACTTTGTATTGGGAATAGTGCTGTCCACATGTTGAGATGGTGAATGCCTAAAGCTAAGCCAAGTAGTTCCTGTGTCTGAAATCCCTTCCTTGAAAGCGTAGAGTCATTTCATAGTATAGGTGTCAACTACACTGGCTTTTTTTGTGTGTCTTGAATGCCAAATAAATGTCTGCAGTTCCAAAGGACCACGAAACCAAACTCTGTGAGTGGAACTCTGCTGTTTGTGAGCTATCACTGCCAAGCGCACAGAGATGAAAAAGGTCTGTTATTGAGGTCCAGCACAGGGTAGCTGCTGTGAAGAGCTGTCATCATTTGATGTCTCTTAACAGCTTTTAAGTTCTGCAGTAAACATGGTGACTACTTTAAAACCAGAGCAGCAGTGGGGCATCAAATATAGGTTCCCCTTGGAGGTCTGGGGCAGTAATAAAGTTTCTGACTGTGTTAGCTGGATCTGAGAGGCAACACAGCTGTTCAGTGCACTTCTGAGGTAGTCCGCCATCTCCTAGTATGACACCCTGGCTTCATTTCTTTGTTGTAGTTCCGACTCATCTTTGACCTCTCAAGCTGAAAACTATCTTTTAGAAAATTTCAGCCCAAAATAGTCATGCTATTATTAAATGCAAGACAAGGAAAACCCATTGTATTATCCCTGTTAAAAATATTCTGGAATTTCTTCTCAGAAGCCTTAGCACCTTTGTGGCTTAGTGGGAATAAATGGAAATTTGGAAGTGCATCCTCTGAATTGGGAACGTTCTTTTATCACCTTGAGGAATACCTGGCCATGTTGCAACCCTCTGAAAAATCACACTAAAAATCACACTAATTTAAGGCTCCTTTATCAGCAAAAGCCTTCATTGATTGTGGTCCAAATCCTGTGCATGACTGGACTTTGAGTGCACGTCTCTTATTGAACAACCCAGGGTACCACACCACCCTCCAGCTCCCATGTTCTGCCAGAAGTGCACACGCTGACGTCTGAGCAGGCTCGTGCTCAGAGGCTATGAGAGCAAAGGCAGACTTTCCCCACAATGCCTGCTTAGCCAGGAGATTGGGAAAAGGCACTGGGATGGGATGATGTAAAGCAACAGTGAGGAGGAAGCCTCCCCACTCTGCTCTGGTTGGTTTTCCTGCTGGCAGGTGGGTAGAGAGCAGGAGGAAGCTGGTGTGGCTGCCGAGGGGAGAGTATAACCCATCAGGAGAAAAGCTGGGATGAAGAGCTTGGAGAAAGACAAGATCAGTGACTGTGAGCCAGGATGTGGACAAAGGACTTGCTGAACCAGGAGACTGGTGAAGGAAGCCAATATGGGTGAAGTGAGGTCTGGGATTAGCTGGCCAAAGAGGAGGGAAGATGCAGTGTTGCTGGGGATGGTGGGGACCCGGGAAAAACAGAGCTGAAAGGATTTAGGGTGTGGAGAGGGAGGGAGAAGTGAGTAAATGGATGGTGACAGAAATGGAGGGAACAGAACCAGCAAACCAAGGTGAACACAGGGCAGCTGATGTCAGATGAAAAGACAAGAGCTGGATTTTGGTTTCAGAAGAAAAAAAAGGAATGAGGCATAGATGGGGAAGCAGAGGTGGGAAGAGAGGGAGAGAAGAGAAAATAGGTGGCAGAAGTAAGAACTGTAACATGTGATTGTGTAATCCTAGCTCTGACTGCAATGTGGGAGCAAGGAGGCCAAATGAAAGTTGCTTGAGAAACCAGCCTTCTTGTATGTCCAAACTCTCAAGAGTGCCTGCTTACCCATAATTCTGTCCATTTTAGACATGTTTAGATGTACACCAGTGTCCTGTAGAACATCAAGTGGGCAGACCTACATGAATGTGAAAGCACAGTCTTCCAAAAGGTCATAAAATGCAAAGGTCGAAGCTCTAGCACCAATTTTTTTCCTCCTCTTACGTTTGATGTCACATGTATTAGAAAATATCAGGATAAGTCCTGATTATGGCAGGGCCTTTGAACTGAGTTGAGTCATTTGGGTTGACCTGTCTGAGAAACAGAAATCTCTGGAAGATTTTAGCCCCCCCCTTAATTAGGAAGACAAAGGTGCTGTAGCTTGTCTCAGAAATAGGGGTCTTCAGGACTTATTTCCCTGCAAAGCTGAGAGCTCAAAAAAAACCCCCTTGCATTCAGCTTTACAGTGTTAAAAAATCCAGCAGTCTGAGGCAGTGACTTCCAAACCCTAGTCTGTGGACCACAGGATCCATAGACAGCTCTTATGAGGCCTGTGTAAAAGCTCTTTAAGAAAAACAGGACTTCTGCTTAAATTCACTACGATCGCAAATTTTACACATAGAAACTAGGAAAAAATTGCCAGTCCTTAATGAACAGTATAAAGATATAAGGAGACCAGAGGCACTTCAAAATCAGGCCTCCTCTTATGAAGTGGCCAGTTCTACGGAGCCAAGGTTTAGCATCTGAGTGCATGGTTTTGTTTAATGCTCTTTGGGCCCCCTGACTGCCAAGGATCATCTTTTCTGACAGAGATAAATTGCCCCTGCCCAGCGTAGCTTTGGGTTTTAGTTCCAGCTGGGATATGCTGGTAATCCTGAGATACAAAATAATCTTCTGAATATATTGCAGTTAACTTCAGTTGTATAAATCCAAGCATTAGCTGGATACTATAAATAGGCAGGATGTGCAAGGAGGCCAAGTTGAAAATGTGCAGGAACCATGCCTTTTTTCTTTAATGCAACCCCGAAGTTGCGCTATGTTTCATCATGTATAATATTTTTCATCTGAAAAGGAAACAATATTCATGTGCTTTGTGTCAGTAATTAACTGGACATGATGAAGCGTTGAATTTCACACTTTGGAGAAGTGGATGGGGGAGGATGGGTAAGATTTTTCCCAAGTTTTCTTGCTTTTAGTGTTTTCTTGGAGGTAGTTTTCTGCAGGATTGAGTAGAAAGCAGAAATACATCTGTTTTGTATTATATGATGGCTGTACTTTGGCAATGGAAAAAGATGGCACTTAAAAAAAAAGGAAAGAAGAATAAAGAAGAAAAGCTTGGCAACTACAGAATGGAGCAACAATTACAAGAACTATCTTAAAATTCCCAGGATTCGTAATTTATTTTTCCACGCTTGCATTTTTCTGATGTTGCTGATGTTAAAGAAGTGAGACAGAGGAAATTCAGAAGGATTTTACAAAGTATAGATATATCTGTTAAACAATCTCCTTTATTCAGGTTGCCCCCACAGCAGCTGCTGTGATTAACATGTGGGTGGTAGCGAAAGGGATGGGAAGTAAGACTCGTGTTCACTTTAAAAGCGGTAATATATAATAATTTTTTTCTGTTGGTTTCTTCAGCCAGTGGCCGTAAAGTAATGAAGGCGGTCTCCCTCTTAACTGCAATTATCTATGGGTATAAGGCAGAGGTAAAATTAATGCAGATGTTTTTCAGAAACAGAGCCATGTGAGGCATCTTTGTGGTGGGAGAGGGGAAGAGTTACTCAAGCAATGCAACAGTACCTAGTGATGTGTCACTTACTGCAGTTTCCATTTTTTTCTTTCTTTTATATGTTCACGCAAGAAACACTTTTTTCTTTTTCCCCTCACAGTAACATAAGGCGGTCCCAAAGTACAAAGAGCTGAGACTCTACTCATGTGGTAGACATTTGCATGTTTGAGTAAAGTTGGTGGGAGCCGAGGACACTGAGCATTTGTCTACTTTTGAACAAAACTACGGGGTGTGACGTGAGCACCTTCCAAGACTGTAGTAAGTAATGCATCCCCTGGGGCTGCTTTTCACATCCTCTCGTTTGGAGAGTGTAATGCTTCAGCCTTTGCAGGGCTGGGGGCTGGAGAAGTTGGGAATCGTGGTTTCCCTGCAGCGGGGTCTGAACTATATGACAGTACCCCCAGGTTGTTCAGCAACTTAGCTGACTTGAAATTGAGCACTGGAACAAAATATTTTCTGAGTGATTTTTAAGTAAAAGCTAATGTGAAAATGTAGGAGTTTGAACCAATGTAAACATATTAAATTTAAAACAATTTTCATATGTAGTAAAGAAAAAAATAGTGTTCCTGCTCTTGAAATTCCTAAAGGACACATTTTTCCTTCTGAGTCATGATTTAATTAGATTATATTTTATTAGACATTCTTTACAAATTTTAAAATACTGCTATTATACATGCACAAAGGAAAATCACTTTGAACAATTGTATGTAGGCATTCATTGAAGTCAACCACAAAACAGGAACATTTTATGTCAGTTATCAATGTACTCGATATGTATATCTAAAGTGCATTATGTTACAAAAAAATATAGAAAGTCAGCAGCACCAAGATATGTTCACAAAATAAATACACCAGTCAACAAAATAAATTATGGTAAATGTGACAATAATAATTGTCTTAGCCTTAGCCAAAAAAAAAAAAAAAAAAAAAAAAAGGAAATTTCACAATAACCAAATGTGCAGTTTCAGAGAGCAATGGGGGGAAAAGGTTTTATTCTGAGCATTTACAATATTTACAGGTAATAAATATTTTAATACTTCTCATATGTTCACTATTACAGAATACTGCAATATGTCTTCCAAAAATCTCTTGCTGAAAATCTCAGAGCCTCCTGCAAAGAAAAAAAGAACAGAAAAATTAGAAAAATTAGTTTTCACTTCAGATACATGGACATAAAATTAACAGCAAGAGTGCCACAGACTATAACAGGTATGCTTTGCTAGTAAACATTTGCAATAGTAGGTCCTGCTTAACAATGCCACAGTTTTAGACATCTTTTCAAGACCTCTGTTATATTTTCTTTGATGCAACTCAGCTAGCAGTCTGAAGACTTGCAGTTTGTCACAACACTGATGCCATCTATTCCACTATATTTTATACTCAGAGAAATAGGAAGGGGCTTTAGTTTTCTATAGAGCCTTATGCAGGAAGATTCCTGAGTGCTACCAGGTAGAAAAATTGTATCAACGTATAATAAATACGCCAAGTGCTAAAAAGAAAAAAAATACAGTTAGAGAAATAAGAATTCTGTTCTGAAGACAAGAAAAAGAAAGTCCTTATTGAACACTGTGGCAATCATGACCCTGCTGTGTTAACTGCTTGGGTGAGATGCCAGGCTTCTGATTAAAACAGTCCCACAGGGCTTGTTTTGTCTATCTTTCCCACTGATAGACCACCTATTAGACAAGGGTCTGTTCAGCTTAGAGCTATGTATTTCTGTGGTGTCATGTACACGAGTATAAGCAGTACTCATGCAGTAAAGGCTGCTCAGGTCTTGAAGTGAACAGACCCTTGATGTCTCTCTTTAAGTGCTTGAAAGAATAAAGAATGGGATGCTGGCAGCCTGGTGCAAGTTCTGCACTCCTCCCTTCCTTGTGAAGACAGGAGAACAAAAGCAGAGCCTGGTCCTATCCTGTCGGTATATTACTTACACCACAATATTATTTTAAGTTACTTCTTAGTGGTCCTGAAGGAGATGCAAAAGGGATGGGCTTTTTTCCCTTCTGTTCCTGTGAACAGCACATTTCTGTAATGCACATTGGTTCCCTGGGAAACAGCTGTAAGGTGGAATTTGAAGCTCTGGGATGGAGCGCGATTCACTCTGTTGCTCGACTGAGTGACGAAGCTGCAAGTAGCTTTGCACATGGCAGACGTGTGTGGGTGTGAGACACACAAAAAAGGCAAATCCTCAAGAGTTTAAGAGGGTTTTTTTTATATGCGCACATTGAATATGAGACCATATTTAACATTAGGGAGTCTACTCGTTCGAAAGGTTTCTTAGGAAATTAGGTAGTAATAGCTTAATTGAATTGGAATGGGAATGTAGCTGGAATGTCCATGAGAAAGAAATTTTTAAGTGCCTGGAATGGAAATGCTAGCATGAAACTCCTTAATAATTAACTAATAATATTAGGGTGTATTCAAGCTACGTTACAATACATATAATAATGGCACACAACTCGTACAGTGTGACTGTATATGTGTCTGCACAACACAGGCCTATTTCTTAAAGGCTGATATTTTCAATTTGGCTTGGATTATAGGCTTTGTTTTAGAGTTTAAGATAAGGCACATCTTGACAATGGGCTCTGTACTAATGACTACTTGCAAGCTGCTTTTTGTGATTTGGTCCCAGATTTTGCAAGATTGGCTTCTTTTAAGAGATACTTCTTGTAGTAAGTCAAAAGATCTAGAGAGTACGTAATTTTTGGCCTTTTTTTCTGACCTAAACCCAAAATCTTGGAATTGAGATTGGGCAGAGGGAATGGGCACAAGGATTTTAGTTCAGTGTTTTGAGCAGAAAGGAAGCACAGAGATACAGTGAAAAGCATGGTTAAAGTTTATCTTTGTACTTCCTTGACATTTGCCCTGCTGCATTATGCATATCCACCTCTTCGCTGTGAAGTAATGATGCTTCTAAGCTACAGCTAGCCTTAGGGATGCTACAAAAGCAGCTTCTACTGGTGTAGCTTATGGAAATCCAGTCTGCACACATCTTCCTTGCAGCCCACCAGCAGATAGAGTGAACCCAGGACAAGTTTCTATTTCATCTCGATACAGCTGAGTAATCAACTTCATTCAGATGTGGTCATCGCTCCATCTAAAATGCACTTGCCCACCTTGAGCCAAAAACCACATAGAAAACTGCGTTGAGCCTGACTCCTCCTATCTAAAGTACATGACAAGGTTTTGAGACTTGCATTCATTTAAAGTTCAGAAATTGTATCTTTTGCCAGCCTACTGGGATAACTACAGCCTCATATACTAGCAGTTTCTTAAGAGATGAACCAGCATACTATGCTCTGTACTTGTGAAGGAGGAATTTAGTTTTCCTGTTTTATGGCTTCTCTTTTTTATTCATCTTCAGTTAAGTATCTAAAATAAAAGGCTTCTTTATGAATCTGTTTCTTCCCCTGGAGAAATACTGCGCCTTGGGCAATAATATCAGTAATGTAAAGCTGGACTACCTTCAGCAGTCTGGACTCCACAGTAAAGCTGACTCTCTTCAGCCATAATTGAAACAGAAATGCTGAACTAGGAAAATAGGCAGGGTTATACCTGTCATTCTTTTACATATCCCATTGGATACACAACCAGAGACAGAGTAATGAAAAAAAATAACGGTTGAAATGTTCTAGGGTAGTTTTTCTCCACATTCAAGGTTTTTATGTGCTGAAGAGAGTTGCTATTTATTGGCCACCACAATTCCTTGAAACATCAGGTATCTCCTGACTGGAGTCCCAGAGAATGCCTTTCCTAAGGCCCTGAGACAAACCAGCCTCTTGTGCTTCACTACTGACTGCTGCAGCCATGCTAACTGGCTTATGGTCAGGGACACTGAGTGCCTAGCTCTGAATGTCAGTAATTCCTGTAGATGCCAGCACAAGTTGAGGCAATGGAGCGCGTTGCAAACTGTGGCCTGCAAAGCTTAACCCAAGACTGAATTTTAGTAAATCCTGCAGCTGGAGTCTCCTTCGAAGGGTTTTACTGTGAGCAAGTGGCACTTCTCTTACGTCCCTATTCTTCCAAAGTGAAGGGGAGGAGGAGAGAAAAGGGTGGGTGTTTCACTGGTGAAAATGCAAACATTTAAGGACAACTGAGGAGCAGACTTGTTCGTTTTGTCTGCAAGTGTGCAGACTTCTGCTCAAGCTGAGACAACTGCAAGCAGATGAGTCGCTTGGGGTACCTCAGCTGAAACCTCCAGCTCGACACTGCCCTGAAAACCCTTCGTTGTCATACATGAGGGAAGCACGTCTCTCTCTCCAAAAGCAGTGCTCAACAATTTTCAGCAGCAACGTAATTGTTTCACAAGCTGGCAAAAAGATGGAGCTGAATTAAAAAGTCCTAATGGCAGGGAAAATTTTATGGTGAAAGGCTGGTCTGCGTTGTTTGTAGATATTACTAAGAGAGAATTTTTCCGTGTTCTCCCCTAAGGTTAAACAGTAAAATGAAAAACTGTAAAGTAAGGGTAGGAAAGTTGCCAAAAAGGGGAGGCGTTGAGAGGGAGGAAATAAAACTTCGCCATTTTATAGATGCAGAGCTTTATATAAAACTCAGAGCCTTCAATCTGCTGAGGCCCAAGTGTGGGACCAAGATCTGACATGAGAGACTCTATGGTTAAAACAGGAAAAGAAATGTTAATGTCTGTGATGTGCTTTCTTTCTGCAGAAATAATTTTACTTACTACTCACTCAGCTTCAGGAAGCTCATTTTGGCAATAAGTGGTTTACCTGAATTGTTTGCCATAGGAAGGAAAACCTTTGTCAGCAGTGCCAAGTGGAAAGGGTACTTACCTCCAGAAAGCACCTTGGGACTGTGGGCTGCTTGAAAAGCCACTGCCCAGTGCTATGACTCCAGGCTTGAGTGAGGCCTCAGCCTTGCACACCAAAGGATAACAATTTCAGTAAATATATGGTATGCCCCCCCCAAAGGATGTAGCAGAATTACCTTAAAGTGTGATTATGCGTAGTAAAAGAGTTGTCCAAGAGTGGGCTCTCGGTCACGATGCTTCCATACATGGCAGAATTCAGCCAAGTTGAGCGGGCTCGCCTCTTTTTCTTCTCCTGTTCCTTACGTTTTCCAGGCTTTGCTTTCTTTTTCTTCCCTGATGCCTTCAGGGGCTGCTCCTTGTAGGTCTGTGATTTGTTTGTCTCCTGAGTTAGGTATCTGCCCTCATCTTCACCAGCAAATCGAACAGGGTAGTTCTTCGTGTTGGTAGCAGGCTTAGGGTTAGGTGAAACCTCTGAAGTTGCACGAATTTCTGCAGTGTTGACACCTTCAATTAAATTTTGAAGGAATATTCTTCTTCGTAAGTCTTGGATTGACTTGCCCTTGTCATGCAATAGCTGGTGCTCTGATACAGCCCGTTTGCTAAAGAAAGAGAAGAGAGGAGGGGAAAAAAAACATTTAGGATTTGGTCATTGCCCAGTACTTGACGGAGCTCCTCTGTCCTCTGGCAGTGGAAGCCACAGTGACTGTGTACCAGCTCTTAGGTTCGGAGACATCCAGTTAAGTCAGACTGCTGGACCAAGTCCTGCTTCTCAGAGTAGCTGCTCTCTACAGAGAAGGGAAAGACCTAAGCAGATAATAATTCTCAGCTGACTGATCACACACCACTGGACCTGGGGTTGGATTAGTCACTGCTCTGTTCTAGGAAAGCATTACGACTCTTAATATATCACACTTCAGGCAGTAAAAGCAGGAAGGCAGTTGTCAGAGATAGGAAAACTAAAGCATCAGATAATGGACCACTGCAGTCAAGCAAGAGAGGGAATAACAAGTACTTGTACCGAAGCCGGAAGCAGTGTTTATACAGCATCATTCTAATAATTTTCTTCTCCTCAGTCATGTACTTCAAGAACATAAATAAAAACATAAAAGTGCATTTCATTTCTAAATTTAAATAAGTGCAATTGCAAGAGCGTAATGGAAAAATGTTCGAATTTGGGTGCCTAAAATGTAGGCAGTTCAGTCCATAATGAGCTATCCAGAGAGGCAGCAGCCTGAGCATTAGCAGAGATGAGCCTCAGCCACTCTTGTTGATTTTACTGCTTGGCCACTTGTGTCTAATTATGGTTTTAGATGCCTTTCTAGTATTCCTTTAAGCATGAACTTCTGGGGCCAAATTTCTTGTCTGTTGTGCTCTCTGAGTTTTATGCTAGCTCTCTTCACTGGATCTTCTTCAAGAGCATCCTGGTTTGTTTGAGTTGGTCTCAAACAGAGAGTGACCAGAGTCCGTGACCTCTTGGTTCGCTAACCTCTTGTCTTGTGTTCAAGGAACTGGGGGATGGCTAGTGATCTGTCTTTCAGAGATGTTGTACTAGCAAAGGACGTATGAAACATCTGAGGGAGGAAGATAAAAGTGACACCTGGATAATAAGTAACTGTGAGAAAATCCATGCTTTTTCCTTGATGTGGGATAGACGCACAACTGGACTGTGAACCACAGAAAGAGCACAAGCTGGGTTTTTAGCTACATTCCCATGAATGCTATAATACAGTTTATCCTTCCAATTGCCCTACTTCAGTGTGCTGAGATTGGCTACATATCCTCTCATCTTGCATCAGGGTGCTGCATGTGACTGGATTCTTACTGGCCAAAGAAAATGAATTCATTGTCTTGCCTGTCCTATAATCATTTGGTCAGTTTGCTGGACAAGAAGTTTTTTCTGCATGTGGGTGAAATGGGAGAAGACACATAACTGTTAGTGAATATTCCTTCCTTCTGTCCCATTCCTAATTATCCTGCTGTGTTACCAGGTTTCAAAATGTGGTAGACAAAGATAGTATGCTAAATGATTGGGAGTGTTCTGCAACTTATCTTTCTCAGTCCCTGCAGCCAAACTCTTTAAATTTGTGTTTTGATCAACAGTATTGCTATTTGAAATTGTCAGCTTCAAGTAGCATTAATTTAAGAGCATCCCCTTCACTTTTTGTCTTTGTAGAGATGCACTTTTTGAGTATTGGGTTTAAGTGATGGGTTCAAGTGGTATTACATCTCCATTACTCAGTGCAAAATTCAAACAGCAGCTCGCACCCGTTCCACAATGAGACTGGACTATTGTTTTTTCATGAAGTCATACAGTAGGGATACTTGCTCAAAATCAGGCCTGGATATACTCAGGTTTATGAGCACACATTTGACCAAACATTTTCTATGCTTTAAGCATTCCAAAATCAGTTTTGGATGACTTCAGGCTTTAGGGCAAATATTTTATGCCCTTCAACTCAATGTCCCTAAGCAAAAATGCGATGTAATAATACTGAGCTGAACCCATACTGTTTCTTCATCTTTTGTGCAGCTTTGACCATTAACACAAGCTCAAAATCTTCCCCAAGAGAATCTTTTTTTGACCAATGCACTCCCCGAAGCTCTCCAATAGCCATCTCTAACAACCTTCTCATTCAACCTTCTCATTAAGGTCAATCTGATTTGCAAGTATGCTAATAAAACTAGCAACTTGGACTCCTCTGAGTGGCATACTTCTGTGCCACTTGTCAAGCTGTCCATTGTGGCTCACGTTACATTCCTAGCTTCGGTAATCTATTTTCCCAGGATATTTGCATGGGAAACGCAGTTCTCCTTTTTGCTCTTCTAGTTTATGAAAAGCTTACAAAATCTTAGTGCTTTACTGAGTCTTAAACAACATGTCTCGTGATGAGCAAAGCTTTCCTACTGCCTCTTGTAAACTAGCAAGGATGACTCCTTTTATCACAGACAGCCTAAAGCTGCCTTAATCCTGTAATGTGTATTTGGTCAATTTTCCCACTGTGACAAAATCTTGAATCTCTAAAGCCTGTTATTAAAGCACTCTTGATTGAAAAGCTATTCCATTTTACAAAGTTGAAGCCTAAAGATTTGGTTCCAGTACACACAAGGCAGTCAAAGAGCATTATAAGATGCCCATCTTGAGTGAGTATGCATTTCCAAAATAATGCAGGGATTGACGTGTAACGGGTTAGTGTGCCAAAGAGGGTGAGTTTCTGTTTAAATGTCTGTATGATATTTAGCATCAAGTCTGGCCCCAAATAACATTCTGCTATTCCAGATGATTGTATAACATTACGTAGTGTTACATTTCACATGACTTTTATTACTCAGCCAGACTTAAGGAATACATTTTGCCTACCAATTTCCTTTGTATGCTCTAGATCAAAAATCTCCTTAAATCAAAGAAGATGTGGTAGATATGTATCTCTTTGACCTTCTGCCTCCTTCTGCCTCAGTTATTCAAACAACTTCTGTGTTTGTAAATCACGGAAAAATACTTGCCCAAGAAGGCTTATGTAAGAAGTGCTTCATAATGGACATATCAACAATATCTCACCCCCACACACACGGAGTAGGAAGGCAATGGAAACTGGAATGATTACATTCATGTCTTGGGTACGATAAGTAAAAAAAATATTAAACTGTTAGGGTTAAGATGACCCACTAGAGGTCCCTTCCATCCTTCTATAAAATGTGCCTCTCATTCAAGCAAAAAGAGTCTGACCCCAAACCAAGTGCAATAAATGCTAAGCTTACATGTGGTAAGCACTTTTGAGAGTAGGGTGTTGATGGTTTGTATTTGGCCAGAGAGTCCAAACTAATTACTGTATCCATGTACATTATGCACATACGAGACTTAATGTCTCGTTATGGGGAAAACAGTAGAAATCCACGACTTGTGACTATTTGGACTTCATGTACTTCTAGATAAGCTGTTAATTTCAGGCACATTCCGTCTTCATTTTTTTCACTGGCTATCTAGCATCACTGAGAGGCAACATTCTTCAAGCGACAACTTTCTCTCTCAGAGTTGCTCTTATTTAACCGTTATTATCCTTCACTCTTCATGTTGGGTCTGATCATAAGTTCAGCAAAATAACTGGAAAGGATTCAGTCAGCCCTTTGTCTGGATTTTGTAAGAGTGAGTGCCCTTGCCACTGGCTCCAAAGGGAGTGAAAGCTGCTCAACCTATCTCAGGGTTAGGAAAAATATTTTGAACAAATGTGGCAACGTGATGCTGAAGCATCTGGGTACACTGATAAAAATATCTAATTTCACTTTGAGGCATTACTGGGTTTTTCAGAAGTTCTTTAGCAGCTAAAGCATTTCTATAACAAATAATATATCTGGCAATCTTTCCTTGGGACAATTTGCTATTGGTTTCCATGGGAGTTTTGCCTCAGTAAGGTCTGTAGAACTAGGCCTATATCATTCTGATTATTTTTTGCATGGCTGTAATAATGTGCTTCAGTATTTTCATCCATTACTGCTTTAAGCCTTTGACTGAAAAAAGATATCTCTATGCTTAAGTGATTTATTAACCATTAACTCTGGGAATGGCTTGTGGTGATATTAAAACAGGACAAATGTTTGAGTGTGGTGTCTGTGTTTGGGCTGTACCCACAAACAAAACTACGTGAATGCCACTAAATGACAGCTAACTGGTTTCTTCTGTGTATTTTACATGCCATAGCAAAGAGGGAGCTGAGAAATGCATTTTGGCTGTTTCGCTTCCACTTTTTTTCCCCTCTGTCAGGACAGAATGGGGTTGTTGGAAAGACCTCTAATCCTGACCTTTAAAAACAAGTGTTAGAACAATGTTAGCTTCAAAAAGAGTATTTCTTAGCAAGTGCAACTTTTTTAAAAAAAAACAAATTTGGCTTAGATCCAGTTCAGAGTTTCCTAGCCAAGGAAATACAGCATTTGACTGTACTTCAATTATTTCTTTTTTTTTTTTTTATTTCTGAAACTGAAGTTTGTTTCTTCTATATCCCAAGAGAAGAAAATAGTCTCAGGTGAAAGAAATAGCTCAAAAATAATTTGCAGGAGCACAAAACAGCTAAGCATTAATGGACTGGGAAGAATTATCAGCAATAACATGTTCTACACAATTTGCTGTAGGAGATTTGTAATAGCTGTCTGCCTGGTGCCAAGGTTTAGGCGTGTCTGAAGTCACTTCACCTGCAGGATTTTTTTGCTGTTGTTGTTGCTTAAATGGCAGAGGAAGTGCTATTTGGAAAGCTTGTCCTCATGTATGTAATAAAACAGTTACAAGGAAACCCATCTGAAATTAAGTTTGCTGTGTCATGTTTCCCTATAAGTTGTGATTGGATTTTCCAACTATCTTTGTCCAACCTGACTTCCTCTTGAACTTAATAACAGTACCAATTATGACTGAAGTGTTTCTTCCTTAGAAAATCTGATGCAAGTCCAGTGAAAGCCAGTGAGTTAGATGTGTGGGACAGCTGCTCCTACATCAGCCCAGTGGCTTCTCTTCTGCACTTTGTGTAGGGGTATTAGTATAAACCATGTTGATTATTTTGGAAGGAGCAAAAAGGTCATTTCCTGAGCAGACTCTCTTAAGTTACATTACAATTTA